TCTATATAAAGATTCTTGACAAAATCCAAACAAGTATATGGAATAGTATCTGTCCTACAATGTCATCTCGGCTTCAATCACTTTATCATCGCCGTAACATGGCTTCCTTGTGCCTTTTCTATATTTTCATGGCGTATTCTTGACATCACGAATGTAAGCGCGGTACTGCCAGATAGGTCTCATTATTTTAATATTAAAATTACTAGATATAACCGTAAGTTCTATGCTAATAGTTTCTTCTCTCAGACATCTCAACTATGGATCAATGGATAGATTTTTACACTCGATAATTTCCATTTAAAAGATGTTGTACATATTTTTATTTTTTTCGTTTTCTTTGTCGAGGTTAACGAGGATTTCGGATGTTGTAATTTCTGTAACCTTAATTTCTTTGCTTAACATTCAATGCCATATTATAGATAATTTTTTAGATTTGACAAGAAACGTAGAAACGTTTCCATTGGTGATTTAATAAGATTAATGATTAGTTAATTTGAAATAGTTATGGTAATATTAGCGGTTTACTTATAAGAAGAAAGTTGTTTTAATAGATTCGTTAGAGAATTGGCATGCAATAGTATCGGTCTTACACTGGCTTCAATCAATTTACCACCTCCGTAAAGTGGCGTCCGTGTATCTTTTTCTATAAATATATTCAGTATCTGTCTATATTTCTGAGATGAGGTATTGTGTACACTATTTACATTTCTGAGATGTGGTATTATGTACACTATTTACATATATTTGTCGCCATATTTATTACGTTTCGGCCGTTGTACGCTCTGACCTTCTTCAAGTGGTTCAAGGACACATGGCACAGTGGATAAAGGCGTTAGTTAGATCCAGTGACAGGACCCAAAGAGTGTGAGTTCAATACCCTGTTAAGTCAGTGGAGAATTTGGAGAGGAGAATTAACAGATAACTGATAACTGACATCCATTTAACATGGCACGTGGAACCAAAACAGTCTACCCCAGTAAGCGAAATAAAGCGTCCAGTTCGACATTCCAACCACCTGAAGAAAGCCGGAGCGTACAACGGCCGAAACGTTGTAATAAATACGGCGACAAAAATGAGGACAATAGTCCGAATAATGTAAATAGTGTAAATATTTTCGTGGCATATATCTTTCCTCTTTGGTATCTTGACATCACGAATGTAAGCGTAGTACTTGATTGCCAAATAGGTCTCATTATTTTAATGTGAAAATTATCAGGTATAACCGTAAGTTCTATGTTAATAGTTTCTTCTCCCACACTTCCAGCCTATAGATGAATGGGTCGATAATTTCTATTTAGAAGATGTTATACATAATATTTTTGTTCGTTTTGTTTATCGGGGAATTGAGTTTAGATATTATGATTTCTGTAACCATAAGTTATCTTATTTAGCATTCAATGCTTCAAGATCGTAAAAATATGATTTCTTACACATCATTAAGAGATAAGTAGATAGATTCTTTTTTTCTCCGAGTCAACTTATCTACTCAAAGCTTTCAGGAAATTCGTCTCCAGTGCATCTGTGACTCAACATAAAAGTCAGAGTTTTTTCAGGATTTCTGTCTCCAGCTGCCTTTGAATTGGCAAACATAAAATGTTGTTAATGATTTCAGATAATCATAAAAGTATTAGGTTGGTGCAAAAATAATGACGTAATAATGTCGTTTTTGACGTTAAAAATACGTCAAAAAACGATATTATTACGTCATTATTTTTGCACCAACCTAATAGAATCATTTGAAGATTTGGCCAACCATCTGGCTTTCGGATGGTGCCTTGTTCCGGAACCCAACGGGGACGGATAGAGGTGTTCGAACCCCAGCCAGTATCTATATAAACAGAGAAAGGCAGGAAGTTAACAAGTAAGTAGGTAGAGTGAGTGAGTGATCAGCTGCCCAGTGGCCAGGTTGACGTGGTCCAACAGTTACGAAGACCACAAGTAAGTAGGTAGGTAAGCTGTGAGTAGCAGCCAGAGAGGATGCGAACAACGGAAGGTAGGGCGATAGCAGTTCAGCCGAAGAAAAACATAACCGGCTAAGTGAGAATTCGTATTGTTGCTATTTCCCAACTACAGAGTCTTGAAAAGCAAGTGTCGTTATTCTTTGTGAATTCGATTACGGCCAACTGAACAAACCTGCGCACATAGCTAGTCGGGCGTATATGCAGACGCAGTCGACCTTGGATATACTCACAGGTGCAGTGAACGACGAACGAGCAAAGAACGTTGTCACGAGCCATATTATCGCTTTATTTTTTTACATTTGACGAGAAACGAAGGAACGTTTCCATTGGTTATTTAATAACATTAATGATTAGCTATTTTGTAATGGTTATCGTAATAAAGGGTGTTTCAATAATTTGGACCGATTTTAAATATGAATTATGTTTAAGTGACTGATGATTTTTAACGTTTTCTTTCATGTTAAACATCTTAAGTCTTTGGAAATTTCAACCATGGAAAAATTAACAATCAAACAACTTGTTAAAATTTCAAGAGTGTAATTGGAAAAATTGTTTGTAAATTCAAACAAACTGGTTCGGTGGCAGATGTGAAAACACCATTGCGTTCTCGTTTATGCCGTTCAGCTGAAAACATTGCTGCAGGGTACGAGAATGTGGCCGAAAATCCAGACCCCTCTATTCGTCATCGCGCGCAGGAATTGAACCTCTCCCCAACAACGTTACGTCGTTTCCAACTGTACTCTTGGTTGGTCGATTATGTTGACCAAAAAATCGCAAAATGCGTGAAGTGCATTTCTGTTTGAACGTCCATTTTCGTAATAGGCTTCCATAACTTTAACACATTGGTTGATTGTTAATCTTTCCATGCTGGAAATTGCCATAGACTTAAATTGTTTAAATCTGATCGCTAAAAAAAGACAACACAGAGTCACAGTTATTTTCATATTTCCTTCTCTAGGATTTATGATGATTATATTAACATTTACTGTAAATGCACGTATTTTACTATGATTTTATATACTTTTATTCTTATTTATTGTATAGTAACATGCTTTTATATACATTTAACACGTTTTTTAGTGATATTACTACTTCAATATTTGTGGCGGACAGACGTAAAGTCGAATAAAATGATTTAAAATTGATTTTTATTTTTCCATATATTGTTTTGACCAACGACGTATAATCTAGAACGACTTAACTCGAAACGACGTAACTTGAGGTATACCAGTATTAAGCTAATTTTTCAGGAACATAGTTTCCTCAAGTCCAGTAACTGTTTTCGCTCTGTCTATTGTTGATGAGGGTTTCCTTCCTAGTCTTTTGTTCGAAGTAGTGTGTAATGTCAACATCATGATTATGTCATTATTCGCGTTGCATGCGCCATGAACATAATATTCCGCGTTCATTAGTCGATCAACGATGATCGTTTCACTTGCCCTGAAAGATGAATTAACTTCTAAGTTTGCATTTTTCATGCTGCAAAATGCAAGGACAAGTCTAAAATCCCAAATGAGGATTGACGTTATAAGGAACAAAGAAGTACGGATTACTGATAAAGACAAAAACCTTGAGCTTTTAAATTCAAGATTTTCTTTCTTTTTGTTTGGTTTGGTTTGTTTTGTTTTACAGACTATCAACCTCAATGGGTTATTTAATGCCAACAACTTTTTTTTTTCCTGGTAATATTTTTTCCTCAAAAGTGTATAGCTGGTAATATTATTTTCAAAAACGTATTGCTGGTATTATTTTTTTTTTCAAAAATATATTGCTGGTAATAATTTTTTTCTTTCAAAAATTTATTTCTGGTAATGATTTTTCCAAAGTATTTCTAGTATTAAAATCTATTTTTATACTTTTATAATGCTTTTTACCTCAGTTTCGGGGTTAACTATTTGCCCATAGCTGGGACCCTAACAGGTGCTACCCACCCGGGTCAGGGTAGACCTGGGAACACCAGAAATTAGGAGGTGGTTCGACGATCCTCCAAACCTCCTGATCAGAGGACTTGATGCTGGATGTAGCTTATCGTCTAACCCTGGACGCGGATGTAGTTTATCGTCATATCCAAGACGGCTTTCTTTTGTGTGTGTGTGTGTGTGTATGTGTGTTGGAGGTGTGGTCAAGGGCCAGTGGGTCTACAAATCGGAGATATCTGGAAAGCATTTTAACAGAAAAAGAAAATGTGTCACCAAAATCCGAAAGCGCATTGGGATGGCGAAAGATGCCTTCCAAAAGTGAAACAAAGTATCAAGAAACAGGAAATAATCGTTAGAAACCAAGCAAAGAGTACTGAACTGTGATTCAACATCAGTCCTTCCATATGGCAGTGAATGTTGGACAATCTCCTCACAGATGAAGAAGCGACAAAGTGTGGTTCTACAGAAGGATGCTGAGAATGCCATGGACAGAACATATGAGATGTCTTTTTTAGAGAAAATGGAAACAAAAAGGACATTTATACTTAATATCAGAAAGAAACATTTAGAATTTCTAGGACAAGTCATGAGGAAAGGGGGTAAGGAAAATTTATAACTTACAGGAGAGAATGAAGGCAAGAGAGACGGAAAAAATAACGCATAACCTACTTGGCGAGGTTGACTAAATGGCTGGCAGAACAGGGATTGGATTAGGAGAGATAGCAAAAAGAAAAAAAATATTAAGATCTACAAAGAAAAGGAAATTGTGGAGAGCCATGATCGCCAACGTTCTAAAGAAACACGACATATAAAAGAGGATGAAGAATTATCATTTAATTCTTTTCCTCACCGACAAGGAGTTCTTGAATGAGAGAAAAAAAAAAATCTAAAACGAGATGCCAGCCTTCAGAAGCGATTTACAAATGAACCCCCATTGGCCATCCGTCCTCTCATGTCTGTTTCTCTTTCTTACCTTTGGCCTGAATGTTTGGGGGGGGGAGCAAATGGATGCGACCCAATTAGGAGACTCTCACACTATTTTTTTTTAACTATTTTTAACTTTTTTTATTTATTTTTATAAAGACTGTAATGAGTATTATTGTAGCGGCGCTAGGGAACGATGTCAGATAGTCCAGAGAACGTTTTGAACCTAGCTACACAAGGGCTTAGGTAAATTAATATAGCCCGAAAGGTAAGGAAAAGACAAGGATTATGGGTCAGGTAGGTAATGACTGTTGCAGAAGGAAAGAAGAGCGAATGTGCGGGACTGGAATAGATATAGATAGCTTAACAACCGCCTGAAAAAAATATGGAGGCGAAATATGCACAAATAGCTTGATTAAGACGACTTCCGGTAGGCGTTTTTAAGCAGAAAGTCTGACAACCAGTCAATTAGTCAAAATGAAGACCGGAAATGGCGAACAGAATTTACTGGGAAAGGGGTTATCGATGAAATATTGCACAATTCTATCACTGGAAGATGGTGGGTCGTATCTACTAAAGATACAGACCTCAGAATCCAGAAAATGTTAAGGTTTGTAGTCATTTTTAGTCCGTCGATAGATTCATTAGATTTCGTGTGGTATTTTCCTTGAAGCGTCAGCGAATATAAGGAACTTGCGAAAATTAAGATGAAAGACGGCTTTAAGACTTGTCTATTTTTGATGTTTTTTTTTCTTTTTTTTTTTTTTTTTTTTTTTGTTAACTTTTAACTTGTTAGTTATTTTACTCTACCAGGTCACGTCAAATTGGATTCCTGAATTACTTCAAATATGAAGGTATTATGATTTTGTAATTTTTTTTTTTTACTTTTCGTTTCTCTCTCTCTCTCTCTCTCTCTCTCTCTCTCTCTCTCTCTCTCTCTCTCTCTCTCTCTCTCTCTCTCTCCATCCTTCACATCTTTTTGTCTGTCTGTCTTTGTCTCTATGGCTCTCCTTTTCTTTATTGCTCTCTCACATTATCTCTCTTGTTTATCTCTCTCTCTCTCTCTCTCTTCTTTCTTTATTTCTTTCTTTCTTTACCCTTGTATATCATCATCTCTCATTTCTCTCTAACTTGTCTTACCCTTTCTGTCTGTCTGTCTGTCTCTCTCTCTCTCCTTCTTTCTGTCTGTGTCTCTACGGCTCTCCTTTTCTTTATGGCTCTCTCTCATATTATCTCTCTTGTTTATCTCTCTCTCGCTCTCTTTTTTCTTTCTTTCGTTATTTGTTCCTTTCTTTCTTTCTTTCCCTTGTATAACATTCAGATTTTACCCCCTTTCTTTCTTTACCCTTGTATATCATCATCCTTCATTTCTCTCTAACTTGTCATACCCTTTCTCTCTCACTTATCTCTCTAATATCACGACTGTTTCTTTCAATCTCGCGTCTTTTCCCTTACCCATTCATTCACTCTTGTCTCTCTCAATCTCTTCTTTCTTTCTTTCTTTCTTTCTTTCTTTCTTTCTTTCTTTCTTTCTCTGCGTTATTCTCTTTGCTTTCTCTTTCTTTCTGTTACTTACGCATTCGCCCTCTCATTGATTTCTCTCATTCTCTCTCCTCTTCCTTTCTCACTCTCTTGTTTGTCTTTGACACTTTTCTTCTCCAATTCTCTCACGTCACTATCTCACATCCCTCATTTCTCGCTCACTTGTCTTACCCTTTCTCTCTCTCTCTCTCTCACTTGTCTCTCTAATATCACTACTGTTTCTCTCAATCTCTTTTCTTTTTCTTTACCCATTCTTTCACTCTTGTCTCACTCACACTCTTCTTTCGCTTTCTCTCTCTTTTCCCTTATCTCTCATTCTATTCTTCTCTCGACTCTCTCTGTTGTCCTACTCTTTCCCCCTCTCTCTCTCTCTTTCTCGCGCTCGTCTCTCACTCACTGTCTTGTAGCACATGCTCTTTCTCTCTTATTTCTTAATTGTCATTCACTCGTCACAAACTTTTTGTCTCTCACTCCCTCATCTTTCACTCCCCCTTGTCTCTCTTTTCCTTGCCTTTTTAACTCACTCTCTATCGTATTTTGCTCTTTACCTATCTTGTCCTCACTGTCTCTCCTTCTGTCTTGTATTTCACACTCGTGATTCTCTCTCTCCCTCTCCTTTTCTCTCTCTCTCTCTCTCTCTCTCTCAATATATATATATATATATATATATATATATATATATATATATATATATATAATCTCTCCTTCTCTTCCTCTTTTCTCTCTCTATCTTCTCTCGCACTTCCCGACAGTGGAACTCCCTTCCTCTTACTTGCTACCCTGATAACTACAAACTTCAAAAATTTAAATGGAATGTCAATCGTCGATTCCTTGGTTCTTCTTTTTATGCTTTCTGCAATCCCAACCGTATGCCTAGTATTTTCTCTTAGTTTCACTTTCTTGTTCCCCAATGCGTACTAGTGACAACCCCATCTTGCTTGAGGTGAAATGCTTATATATATATATATATATATATATATGTATGTATGTGTGTGTGTGTTAATAATAATACTCGGTTGAAAAAAAGCTTCGATGGCGCAACTTGTAGATATGTCAAAACAAATCGAAACCCGAGAAAAAATTGGCAAAAAAACAAAAAGAAAGACCTAAAAACATTTCAACAGGGAGAAACAAATCGCCCAGTGTCTTTAGTCCAAAGGAGGGGGGAAAAAAGGGGGAGTAATAAAGCTAAAACACAGAGTGCTTAATACACTTAAGTGGAGCAGGAATAAATAAAATAAATCCTAAAGAGCCAAGAAAACCTACCTAGGTTACACATCTTCAGGGCAAACCAACTTACTTTGAAGATCCGTTTAGTTGAAACTTAGAAAGGTTTTCCTGGATGTTTTATATATATATATATATATATATATATATATATATATATATATATATATATATATATATATATATATAGTTATTTATTTAAAAATTATAACATGAATATGTTATAAAATCACTACAAAATAGCCATTTTGTTTCAACACCTCTGGTGTCTTATCAAGTGATGATGTTGAATGTAGATTGTAGAATAAAGGTTTTAAAAGGTTCAAATTAATTAATCACCCTTCGTCGGGGGAAACGTTGTTACATGAGCTGGAATGACCAATCAAAATACAAGTATTTTTATATTAAAAATATTTTTATTGTTAGTTTTTATAGACTATATTTAATTTAATAGAAGTAAATGTATTAGAATTACTTACTGTAAGTAAAATTATTTTTCCATATCAAGTATATGTCTATTACGATTTTTACATTTACTTGTTTTTTCATTAAAAAAAATAGTCTATTAAAATAACAGTGAAAATATTTTAAAGTTGTATTTAAAATTGTAAGTAATAAGAATTCTAACCTAAACACCTTTAAAAATTGTAGTTAAATAAAACGTATTCTAACCTAAACACCTCTCAAAAAGTAATACCGACACTCAAATGTATCCAATAAAACACCTACCGAAAAATGAAATTATGACGAAAAGCTAGAGGATGTAGGCCATTGAATGACCCATGTTCTTTGTACATACATGTGCAACTATATATTACTAAGTTATAGAAAAAATAAAAAATAAAGTTTACTAAATCAGAGAAATGAATTAGCTATTTCTGCCGTAAGTTCCAAAAAATTTACTTAAATAATATTGAAATATAATTTTTTTAAAAATCATAATAGACATACACTTGATATGGAAAAATAATTTTACTTACAGTAAGTAATTCTAATACATTTACTTCTATTAAATGAAATATAGTCTATAAAAACTAACAATGAAAATATTTTAAAGTTGTAATTAAAATTGTAGTTAATTAAAAATGAATTCTAACCTAAACTTTTTTTAAATTGTAATTAAATAGATAAATAAAGTTTACTAAAACAGAGAAATGAATTGGCTTTTTTGCTGTAAGTGAAAAAAAATTTTACTTAAATAATATTTAAATATAAAAAATTTAAAAATCATAATATACTTGATGTGATAATAATTCTACACACTATAAGGGATTCTCATTACATTTAATTGTTCTTAAAAGAAATATAGCATATATTAAAAATTAAAAGTAAAAATATTTCAAATCGTAGTTAAATAAAAAGTATTCTAACCTAAACACCCCTAAAAATCTTTAAATATACGAAGGAAAAAAATGCCGTAAGAATTTTTGCCGTTAACAATAAAATTTAAAAAAATCCAGACGACACGCTTTTAACGGATGTTAGATTTCATTGAAAAAATACATCCCTACCCACTACCAAAACGTAGCAATAACTGATACATTAAAATATAGACATAATGAACACCCAGACACCCCTCGTCTAGTAAAATGGATTCATCTGTAACCTTGGAAACATGAATTATGATTTTAGCTGTGTCTTTAAAACCCAGTGATTTTAAAAGTTACTCCAAAATTCGCTTGAGGATGAAATGGAACTAATGTCTTTAATTTAATTACAAAATTAAATTCTAAGCTTTTAGCTTCCATTTTTGAAACATGGTTAGAACTGTGTAGCGGAAAAAACATATTTTAAATCAATTAATTTATAATATATATATATAACATAAGCGCACAATCCACTGATGTTTTTAAATTTGACGACTGTTGTTTCCAAATTTCTCCAGCAATTATATTCCACGAGTCACATACTTAGGCTTACAAACACTGTCACATATCTGCGTATAGCTAGTGCTATTTATGAAGCTTAGCTTATCTCGCAAAGAGGGAGAAATGCCATCCTCATGTTTCTTGATTGAACACTACTTCACTGTATGCAGGAAGCACCTGTCAATCCCGAGAAACTATGTCGTCTATTCGAGTGGTTAGCCAATCCCTGTTGCAGACACTCGATCAGACATATTCCTATTTATTTATTTTATTTCTCCTCGCCCCACTCCAATAATTTCACCTATCGTCCCGTTTACACTTGTCCTAGGTCTTTTTGTCTAGACAACAACACACCAATAGTGAGAAGAAAAATCAAACAAATACCGATTTGCGTAGGCAAAAACATTGTTTAGAGTTCTGGCAATCATGCGGGAGTTATGTCAAAATCCTAGTCGAGAAATGATCACTCTCGGCTGGAGCCACGGGAGAGAAAAGGATGAACTCGAAATGCCATCTGAAGGTCGGGAACACTAGAATCAAGCAGGCACGGAAGTGTAAATATCTGGGAAGCGTTCTGACAGAGGACGGTAAATGCGACACTGAGATCCGTAGACATACGTCTACGGATCTCAGTTACTTGCGATGGCCAAGGACGCATTCCAAAAGCTGGACAGAATATTGCTAGACAGGAGGATTTCTTTGGTAACGAAGAAAAGAATACTGAGCTGTTACGTGACATCTGTCTTTCTTTACAGCAATGAATGTTGGGCGTTCTCCTCAAAGATGAAGAAGAGACTCGAGGCGACGGAGATGTGGTTCTACAGAAGGATGATGAGGAGATCATCGACCAAGCTTGTGAGCAACGATGAGGTCTTAGAGAGGTTCCAAACAAGGAGGAGGCTTATATTTAACATCAGGAAGAGGTAGCTGAAGTTTCTGAGACACGTAATGAGAAAGGAGGGCATGGAGAATCTGATACTCACAGGTCGAATAAAGTGAAAGAGAGACAAGAGAAAAAATGCATGACATACCTAACGGCCTAAAGCAAGGGGATGACAGAACGTGGTCTAGAGAAGGTGGCAGAGAGAAGGAACTTGTTGAGAGCTGCAAGGGAGAGAAGGAGGTGGAGAGCCATGATCACGTACGTCCTGAAAGAACGCGGCATATAGAAAGAAAGAGGAAGCATTCCGGTGGGCAATATCTACGGATAAAACGGAAATTGGAGTACCGTCTATTGGAATATACTCGTCACCCAGATTGATTGATTGATTCCTTTTTTACGGCTTACCAACCCTTTGGAGATTATTTAAATCTGAGGTCGGCACCTTATTCGACCCCGCGGACCGGATCGTGTTATAATGACGGGTCGCGGGCCGGACGAAGGCCATTAATGAAAAATTAAGGAAAATTACATATGCAGACCCCTGTCAACCTAAATATTTAAAACCATAATGAAATAAACATTGAGATATCAGAAAAACAAAAGAAAATCTAAAATTAAAAAACACCTAACAAAAATTATTTTTCCTCAAGGAACGTCAAAATACTTCAAAGTGAAAAAAATCAACCGAAGTGAAATGGATGAAATTATGACGTGCAGGTTTGAAACTGTTATTGAAAATTGTTCCACAAACGAACCACACACACACATCAAACAAAAAACGAAGCACATACCCATACATACGAGTACAAATAGTTGCAAACATATACACTTACGTACGTACACATGCGGTATCATCCACACATTCATGAGGCATGTATGTATAATGCGCGTATGTTTAACTGTCTTTAGATTTCTGCTACCTCGCATGTCAGTCCCTCCCTGGCTTCTTTCACTTTATCGTTTCTTTCGCTTCTGTTATCTTTTAATGTAGCCAATGGTCATAACAAATATGTATCCATTATTTGACATTAAACATAGGCAACGCAACTTGGTAAAATAAGTCTCATGAAAGATAACTGGCAGATAGTCTAATATTTTTAGTGCACTGAGATGTGTAGACATTCTATGGGAAATGATATATAACAAATTTCATTTGAAGGTCGTCTCTCGTGTTAAAAATAGAGTCATTGGTAATCAGGCTCGCGGGCCGGTCAAAATGCCTTCGCGGG